ATATATATATATATATATATATATATATGAAAGATGAGAACTGATAACAACAGAAAGAACGTAAGAAATAAATAAATAAAAAGAACTGTGTCTATCACGTCGGTAAAAGGACGAAACGCTTTATGACGTAGGTTGCGGAGGAGGTCGCTCGAGAACGAGGGATGGGGCTGCTACAGACGGTCTATGATGTGTGTGGTTGCGTTGTTTGGATCTTGTGTGTGTGTGTATAGGTGATGTTCGTGCCGGAAGAACGTGAGATTCAACATGGTTTTTATTTTTGCGTACAATGAAAGAAAGAAACACAAGTTGCGAAGCACAAGGAGAAGAGTAATTCAAAAGAAAAAGGAGGAAGGCAGGAAATTGCTGGATTTGACGCCTCAACAATCTCAACGAGTAGGAGAACTACAAAAGCCGTCCATCAATCAAAACCAAAAACAAAAAGTTCAAAGAGAGGAATGAATACAGCTGACTCGTCTCTCCGCTATGTCACTATCATCTTGCTTTCGGCCTTCAATAAAGGAATAGTGAATCACTCAGTGTTCTCCGCTCTTATCCTTTGTTTACGTATTTGTTTTAATGAATATGTGTGTTCTTGCTTTTTTTCCAGAGAAGTCCCCGAAGGTGCACAACTTCACTCGTCGCACTTCTCATCCGCATAGAAAAAGACAGTAAAGTGAAAGGTCTCTGCCGGCGCTGAGGCCACATACAGCAGACCCACCGCATCCCCCAGCCACGATTCGAGAAGGAGCGCAAACGCTGCTCAGGAAGAATTGTAGTACTTTCGAAATGATTTCGGGTTGACGCGCGGCTTGTTGATTCGTCTCTTGTAGTGAAAGGTGGCGCGTGGATCGGACAGGCGTGAGGAGCGGCCGCCCGGACGTGACAGGAGCGCGCTTTGCGCATTCGCAGTGAAAGCGCGCCCCTGGCGATGGCTTGCGGAATCTGGCAGGTTGTGCTGCGCGAGTTGCATGATGCCCTCTAGGCGGTTCAGCTTCGGCTGATCGCGGAGTTGCCGTACGTCCGGCTGCTTCCACACACGTTGCTGTCGGTGAACCTGGGTACCGCGTCGAGGAAATAAGCAAAGAGCTGTTGCGGCAAGGGCGGACACTGGCTGACGCAGCCACGTTGAACATTGCAGCATTGCCTTTTACTTTGTTTTTTTTTTAAACTGTATATATATTTGCTTTTATCCTGACAGAGTATCTCAAAGACTCCACTTGTTACTGATCCACAACGTCTTGTAAACCACCAACTCACATGCGCCTTTTGGTTCGGTAAAGCATAAAGAAAGAAAAAAGGTGGAGAGGAGATGCAAAAAAAAGAACAGCGAGAAGAAGAAGAACGTTGACGAGCCCACTGCGCAGAGACCGTTGAAAGGAGTTTTCGTCTTTTCCCTTTCAGCGGATCCGAAAAGAAGCGCTATTGGAAGCGGGAGCCACCGTCAACGCTGCGAAGTGCACACGTGAGACGTAATAGTAAGAATATGGCAGTTTTGTTTGCTGCTCAGGAAAAGAGAGCAATACCTTTTGTCCTCTTTCAAAGCAAATAGCGCTCTGCACAGCGCTCTGCACAGCGCACTTCACCCACAAACACGCACACCTCGTTTAAAAGGAAAGAAAAAAGATGACAGCTGAGCTTTAGAAAGCGCTGCAGAAAGGGCGAGAAACCGCGGCGCAGGCAATCGCAGTCGCTATGGCACGAATGAGCATAGACAAGCTGACCGTTGGCGCTGCGTCACACACGCACACTAGCGCCGCTGTACTGTTCCTGTTGTGGCCGCCCTCTCTCTCTCTCTTCCCTCCCCCTTCCCTCCTCCCTCCCCAAAGCACCGAAAGAATGCCCTACGCAAACGCGGCTTCACTCCCACGGCACCACAACTCCAGCACCGTGCGATGCTCCATTTCGAGTCGATGCAGCCGCGACAGCACCAGCCCGTAGACGGGGACGTAGTCCGACAGCGCAGCACCGGCACTCCGCATCGCCTCACTGCGCCACCGCCACGCCGCACCGTTCTCCACAAACTCGTCATCCATGGTGTGGATGGAGGCCAAATACTCCTCGTCCCCGCGCAACAGCCGCGCCAGACGACGAACCGGCTGTTCACGCAAGACGCACAGCCGCTGACGTGCTTCGAGGTCTGCCAAGGTGGAAGCGCTCATCTCGGCCGTCGTGATGCCGTCCATTGGCACAGATTGGAGCTCATACAGGATGGGATCGATGTTGGTCGTCGCAATCAGTACCAACTCCTTTACCTTCATCTCGAGTGGTGACAGGTAGTCGCGCCAGGTGGCCTGGATGGAAGGCAGGAGCAGACCTTGTCGGATGCGGCTGGCAATGAGCATGTTGGCCGCCTCCGCGACCGCGCTGCTGCCGGACAGGGATGCAGCGTATCGCGCTTGCCGTGTCGGCGTGTCCGACGGCGGCGCCGGATCGATGCCGCTCATCATCAGCACGTGTCGCAGGGCATTTAGAATGATCGGGTAGTTGCGCCGGACGTGCTGCAGGACTTGCTCGCTGGGCCGCACATCCATGTACGTCTCCTCGATTACATTTGCCACGTAGGGCCCGAGCTGCCGCAGACACCGCAGCTCCTCCTCGGCCGCAATGTTGTAGGAGAGACGGGAGCGCGGAAGCTTCTGGGAGGCGCTCCCGGCCACGCCGCCGGCGGATGACGTGTTCGATAGCGCATCAGACAGCGTCGAGGTGGTCGTGAAGGACTTCCCACTGGAACTGAGCTGGCGGTCCAGCAGCGGCGCCACGTCGGTCGAGGTGGTCTCGATGTTGGGAGCGCAGTAGACACCACCGGCGTCTTTGGACACTGGCTGCATCCCCGCAGCGTACGTCGGCTCCCCGCTTGCAATGCTGTTCGTGTTGACGTTCTCGCCGGCGGAGGCCGCTACGTCGGTGATCATCCACCATTCATCTGAGCCAGCCGTTGCGGACTGCGCCGTCGCATCCAGCGTGAGAGACGGCTGTGGCGGCTGGGTAGGGGCGCGGCTGTTTCCAGCAGTGCTGCTGACGCTGCTGGCGAGACTGCGACCACCACGCAGCGGGGTGACGCTGCCAACGCTGGAGGACGGCGTCTTCGGGTCTCCCCACACCGGCACCGGCGCCAGCGCTGCCCGCTTGAAGTTCTTCAGCCACTTCGATCCCGCCTCACGGAACTTGTGCAGCGTTGTGTTCGTTGAACCACTCTTCGCAGGACCGCCTCCCTGCGCGCCATTCCCCGCCGTGCTGCTCAGCACACGCGAGGAGACGCCCGCGGGAGTCCCTGCACGGGTCGCCAGTGCCTCCAGCACCGCCTCCTCCGGCCTCACTGCACCGCCGCTGTAGTAGCAGACAAGGAAGCGATCCACGTCGTGCTCGATCAAGGTGAGGTACGTCTCGGTGCATAAGTTCTTGAAGGTGTAATAGCTCTCGGCGCGATGCTGAAAAGCGATTAAGCTGCGCTCCCAGTCCAGGATGTAAGCGGGTACCGGTGCGACCTTCTGCGCCGTGCACGGCAGCGAGGCGCTCGATGACACTGGAAAGGCGGAAGCTGATGCGCGCGGAGAGATTGTTAGATTGGTGCCCTTGGTTGCCGCCGCCGCCGCCGCCACCCGGCCGGACATGTACGTGCTGCCCTCCGGCAGGCTGAAGCTCGTGCCGGATGCGCTGGCCGTGGAGTCCTCAAAGCGGTGCTGCACCATCGAGTTCGCCAGTGTGGGCGAGATAAACGACGCGTTAATCGTCCCACTGTGCGGACTGTCCGCCGAACTCCCCGCACGCGTGCCGACGTTGCCCTTCAGATTGTTGCTGCTGCTGCCACCCACCACCGGAGAGGTTCGAGTGTGGTGAGACGCGGTGGAGAAGGAGGCACGAGGGGCAACGAGAGAAAGCCGGCCGCTGGCACTCGCACCACCACCACCGCCGCCCCATCCCTCGGTCGCCGTACTACGCGGGGGCTCTTCGTCCCAACTGCGTTGCAACTGGGAGGAGGATCCCGGAGAGAATGATTGTTCGCCTCGTTTGGATGTGTGTTGCAGTAACAGCTGCGGGGGAATGAATTGCGACTGCTGCTGCTGCGACGGCGAGCCGGACGGGAAGGCCTCCACGCAGTACTGCGCGGGGGAGCAGTAGTGCTCGTCACCGTCGGTTGTCTCAATCGGGGCGGCGTCTGCACTCTGCGTGGTCGACCGCGTTGTAGCGGCAGCGGATACGCTGGGTCGCGATACGGAGCTGACGCGGGGGGGAACCAACGGCTCGGGGTGCCGCAGGTGCGCGCTGTGCTCAAAGCCGGGCCCGGCGGCGCCATCGCCAGCGTGCTGCTCCGCGCCGTCGTCGCGCTCGCCCTTCGACGGATGTGCAGTGGGAGGAAAGAAAAAACTGCGTCGGAGGTTGTCATTGCCCGTCGTGCCAAAGTAGAAGCTTTGGTTGTGATCGACGGAGCCGTCTTGCTGTGCGTCGAAGCCGTCCGTGGGGGTGTCGATAGCGCGGCGAAAGGCGTTGCTGCTGCTGCTGCCACCCATCTGCGTAAACGAGAGCTGCATGTTCTGTTGTGGGGGGAACCTCGCGTGCGGTGGAGGGGGTATGATGTGAGGATGCGCAGCGCCAGCGTTTACGTGGTGGTCGCCGGCGACCTCCGCATCGGGCGTCGTCGTGAAGGGCGATGCGTACGCCACATGCGAGCTGGACGAAGAAAACGGCGGGGTGTGTCCGGCGGCGGCGGCAGCGGCGGTGGTGTTCGGCGTTGGCATTCGAGGCGCAGGTGCCACCGCCTCTCCGCCCCAGCCCATGCCCCTTCCACTCGCACCCAACGGAACGGCGTATCGATGATGGGTGTCACGTGACGTCGCGGATGTGGTGGAGGCGGGGGACGCAGGGGACGCGGCAGGTGGTGGTGGTGGTGGTGGTGGTGGTGACGTCGCGGAGCTCGACGCCGCCCTGACCGCGCGCACGCTGCCCGACCCGCCTCGTTCAAGCGGTGGACGAGCCGCTGCGCTTTGGGAAGCCTGGGAAGCCAGAACAATGGCGGCGGCGGAGGTGGAAGTGGAAGAGGTCGGCTCTGGCAAGGTGCCTGCTCTGCCTATGTTGTTTGCCCCCGCCGGTACGGTGGACGGCGAAGGCGGCAGCCCCTGTACCGTGTGCCGAGGCGGTGGGGAGAACGAGATGGCCGGCCCCAATGGGGAGCTATTATGTGGCTGCGTCGCCGCTGCTAAGCCCACCGGCATCGCACCGACATTTCTCAGCATCGAGACAAATTCGACGTGCGCCGCACCTCCTACGGCCTCAAAGGCCGGCGAAGCGAAGGTCAACGAGACGCCGCTCGCCGTCGTGGTGTTGTTGCTGCAACGCACCTCCCCGGCAGCCGCAGCCGCGGAGGCGGAAGGTGAAGGAGTGGCCAGAAAAGACGACCGCGTAGAGGCGGGTGCCGCACGCGACGACGGCGCGAAGTTTGCTGCTGCTGCTCCTGCTGGTGCTGCGTTGGTAATAGATGCTGGCGCAGGCGCCATGCCTGGCCTCGCTTCAGCGTAGAGCATGGGTGGGAAGGTGACTTGTGGGGGCCGTGGGAAGGACGCAGCAGACGCAAGAGCACCGGCGTCCCCCGGTAAAGGCATTAAACGGGGTCCAACCGCTGCTGTCGCCGCAGCGATCGGGGCGTTGTGACTGTGGCTACTGTATCGGCCAGCAGCAGCGGCGGCGGAAGAAGAGGAGGTGAAGGAGTCGCCACGACCCGCAAAGCCACTTGAGCCACTACCGCCACCACCGCAAACATTTCTTGCGTCTCCCGCGTACTCCGCCGTGGTAGGCGAGAAATAAAGTGAGGATGCATCCTTCGTGGACCGAGCGCTGTTGAGTGTGATGGAGCCCGGGCTCCGCCACGACGCGTTCACCTCCGACATGTTCTGCGGCGAAGCGGCTTGCGCTAGCGGGTCCTCGCTCGCTCGGGGGTATCGCGGGGAGGCACCACGGGTTAGTGCAGCGGGGACGGTATCGTCATTGGACGCGGTAGCGTGGTGCAGCGCGGATGAAACGTGCGACGTCGCGGGCGATGGGGGGAGCGGGGAAACCTCTGAAAGGTGCTGCGGGCGGCCACCAGCAGCAGCAGAGGAAGAGAGGTGAGAGGTTGACGGCATCTGCGATGACGACGGTGGACACGAGACAGCGTGCTGCACAGAAAAGGGAAAAAGTGCATGTGTTTGCGCAGCCGGTGGCAGGGCAGTGGAGGAGCTGAGCGGTGTAACCAAAGAATCTCTCACTGCGGGTCTGCCGCCGGCAGAGTCGATGGGCGTGTTTGCAATAGTGGCTGCCGTTGTGACGGAGTTGCCTCGACTGCCCTCCGCTGTGGCCGCCGAAAACGACAGCGGCAATAGACTCCCGGGGTGTGGGAAAGGCGGCGCGGCAGGCAGGGCACCGTTTAAGCTCGACCGTGCACTCAAGTCGTGGCCACCGCCTCCAGCATTGAAGGACGTCAGCGAGACCTCCCGCGGCGTGGCAAACGGATTGCTGTTTGCCGTACGCACCGCCGCTATCGTCGCTGCTGTCGGTGACGCCGTTAGCTCTGGTATGACGACTGGCATGGCCGGCGCGCTTGTCGTCCCACGAAGTCGGCCGCTGTTGTTGCCGGCATTTCTGGAGAGAGGCGGTGGCGGGGAAAGAACGTACGCCCTCGGTCCCGCTTCAGGGCCCGACCCGCCCATTATTCCAGTCAAATTCGTCGCGACTGAGACCCCCGTCAGCTCGTCTGCTGGGGTGGCGGACGGAGACACCACAGGTGGCAACGATTCCCACATTCTCAACTCTTCCTCTCTCTCGGATTTGTTTACAAATATATATGTATCTACAATCGGCCTGTCGTTCAGCAACAAATGACGGCCAACGACAGAACGGAGGAGAAAAGTACGGTGCCTTACCGAAGCTGTGAACGGAGCGAGAAGCGCAAAGAGTGAGACAGACAAGAACAAAAAAACAACAAAAAGAGAATGCGGGGTACCGGCGTTGTCGCCGTGGTAGATGGTGTACCTCCCGCGAGACAGCACCTACCGACGTCGACCGCTTTCGTACAACGGAATGAATAGAATCGAGAAGAAGAAAGGAACAAAGGGGAAGAGAAAAAAACGGTGCCTTACCGAAGCTGTGAACGGAGCGAGAGAATCCGCAGAAAGAACACAAAAATGAAACAAGACGAAGACGAAGACGAAGACGTCTGCAAAGTCGGGGGTTTCTATTCTCTTCTCTTGGCGTGCAGAAAAAAAAGGCATAAAAACCGCAAAATGGGAGCTCTCCTGCCGATTAAGTTGTATTACATGTGCGAGTTACTTCCCAGTTGGCTAATTACATTAAACAACAAAGAGGGCTTTTTTCGAGTTACGCGTGTGAGAATCCAATAGTGAAAGAATTTGCGTTGTGTATTGTATGCTCCCAAAAAATTGATATTTCGAGAGAGAGAGAGAGACAGCGAGTTCCACGCAGCCGTGACAGCTGGTTATTATTTTCTCTCCTTTTTCTTTCCTGCCCGCTCTCGTCGTGACGTCGACGCTAGCCGGGTTTACTGCTGCCACAAATTCAAAATCGAAGGCGTATGGATACGCATCACGGCCGCGTGCGTAGTGAAAAGCAATGAGAGAAGAAGACAAGGAACAGAGAAGAGACAAGACATCATGGGTGGGCAGCACGCGATGAGAGCTGGTCAGCGCTAAAGCGCATCTGCGCGACGTGGGCTGCTAATAAAACACATACAACCTCGGAAAGCGACGCGTGCCGCATCATAACAAAGGACTTTTAATAATAATAAAACACGCAGCAGCAGAGAAACGGCAAGTTTTCTTGTTTCTTATTTTAAGAGACTTCAACAGAAGTAGTGGTGGCCAGGAGAGCTAATGTCGGTGTATTTCGCCATGTCTGTTGGACGCGCACGCGCTTCTGGAAACCAGGGTGCATGCAGTTTTTCGTTTGTTACTGACTTTCCCGTAAATGACACTTCCAACCCAACAGTAAAAAAAAATAATAATAATAAGAGTAATAGCCCTCGTTCTCGTGATCAATGATGCACCGCTTACGTCATTACGTTGTTGAGCAATTGCAGAGAGTGTTTTTCTTTTCTTTTTTGAGGTTCTTTTTGAGGGTGTTTTTTACGCCCATTTTTCCTCCGACACTCTGTTCGCAGAAGGAACGAAGAAAAGGAAACAGTATTTGTATTTAGAAAAAATAAATAGCGCACCGGGCAGCATGATCGTTGTCGCCGAAACCGCGGTGCAGCAAGAGCCGGAAAACCCGAAAGCTGCGACGCGCATTGAGTTTCATTCGATCGCACGCCCAGCTGCGCATGGAAGACGCCATCGTTTCTTTGAATGTGTGCATTCCACCGCTTCTCTACCATAATGATAACAATAGAAGAAGAAGACTTCTTCTTTTTTCTTTTTGCGACAACGGAAAAGACCATAACGAAGATACATCGCGAAACACCAAAAAAAAAAGGAAGAGTAAAGAGGGGGAGCACGTTCAGCTTCTTCATGGCGTCGCTTCGCACCCACTCTTTCCGTTTCTCTCTCACGCTGGCAAAGCACAGCGAGATCGTTGCGGATGAAATTTGGAAAGAGAGGGTGCGAGGAAGAAGTGAATCACAAAGAAATAAAAAGGCTGCGGGAAGGAGGAGGGCGGAAAAAAAAATAACAAGAATAATAACCGCAACAATGGGAACGCTGCGCATCGCTGCGACTGTCCAGCACCGTCACAAAGGTGAAACGGAGGTCTGCAACGGGCCTGCTTTGTCTGGCTTCGCAACCGGACATCGGAGAGAGAAGACAGCAGCGCGACAACAACAACGAAAACGAAGAAGAAGCTGCCAAGGATCCTTTTCTTGTTTCGCGTTTCCAAACATCGAAACGTTCCTTACAGCAGAAAACAGAAGAATATAAAAAGAGGCTAACATGTTTCGTCAAAACTGTCGCTTTTCTTTCTTTAAAGGGCTGCGTACGGCTTCCGCAAAAACAGAAAACATACACACACATATCCAAGAGGGTGAATACATACGAGAAGAGAAGAGAGAAAAGCAAAGCAGGCAAAGAAAAGCTCTACAAAAGTATAATCCCACAGCAGCAAGGGCGGAAGAAAGCCACCTAGATGTAAAAGGAAGGAGGAGCAAACGCGCTGATGGGCAGTGCGCGAGAGCGTGAGAAACGGCGTTATGAAGTTGCTTTTCCTATCTTTTTTTTTTTTTAAGCTCCGATCAAGAATCACACGATCACGAAAAGAGAAAGAAGAAGAAAAAAACGTGAGGCGCGGTGAAAACAGCATCGCACCAACGAAGGAGCGCACCACTTCCATACCACAACGATACCACCATGACAAAAACGAAGACGATGAATCCATAAAGAGAGAGAGAAGAAAAAAAAAACACTGGCGTAATGGGCACTGGCAAAAGCGGATGAAAAGACGAGTCTGACAAGGGAAAAAGAAAGGAACAAGGGAATATAAACGTAACGAGGAGGGGGGCGTACGTCGTGCTCCAACGCAGCGGGCGGCACCAGCGCCGAGGACAGAAACTCAAAAGAATGAGAAATAAAGTTTTCCACACGCATCGCGGTTCATACACAATTCACTTGAGAAACGACGGTGCTCAAGATGAGAATCAATACACACAAATAAGAACATATATCAAAAATAAAAAACCCAGAGCAGCCGACAAAAAAAAAGGATACGACGAACCTAAAAATAAAGCACATTTGGTCGTTTAGCAAAACAATAAGAGAGAACTGCACATGGACACAAAAGAGCACAAAACACTGTGAACAAAATATCAATATATATATTAATATGTATCTCTCCACATAAACGGATGAGTCGCGTTGGTTCTCTTTCTTTTTTTGTTGTTGGTTTTACGTGCGATCGCCAACTTCATTGTTTGGTGGGACGCCACCAACGAGTCAAACAGATATGAAATTATATATATATATATATACATTTCACAACACCCCTTTGTGGGATACCGCCGATGTGTCAGCGTGTGTGCTGGCCAACAACAACAAAAAAAAACCTCTCCGTCCACTCTTGCCGCTTCTGCGGTTTTTCTGCCAGTGAACCTCCTCAATCAAGGATAATGAGCAGCTCCTCCGCGACGGACTGCACGAGCAGCGGCGATCGCCCGCAGAAGGCCCAGTTGCCCAAGCAAGCAACGTGCCCCACAGGGATCACATTGTCAAAGCGAACGGCTCGCACCCGCCAGCTCAGCTTCTCGCGCAACCGCGCTGCAATCGCACGTGGGGTCTTGCGGTACTGCGGAATGTCATCCGACGGTACGAGGTAGGACGACGCCGACGGCCCAAAGCAGGTCGCATCATCATTGGTGGCGGCCGGCGGCGACGTGAACACCGCCCTACCTCTCTCAACCTTCCGCTCCGTTGGCAAGAGAGTGTCATCGTGGTTCGCATCTCCAATTCGCCGCCTCAACACAGCAGCAGCCGTGTGCAGTCGCTGCCGCACCTCGCTGTGCACGACAGAAGCGGCGTGGCGCACGTGCTCCGAGGCCCAGCGCGGGTCCGTCAGCACAGACACCACGTGGCTGCCGCGACTCCGCCGCGACGAAGACGCGGAATCGGAGTCGGAGCCCCACTGCGCGTTGCCCCGCGGTGACCCAAACAGTGTAACACCGGCAGCCGCAGCGTTGCTTGGTGAGTAGCGGCAGTAGCGAGCGTGGCCGTCGCAGCTGTGGGAGCCATATACGACAGAGATCGGGCGTGCCAGCAGCGACACAGGTGAGACTGACATGCTGGAAAGACTGTCGTACCCAACCTCAAAATCCTCTGACGGGCTCGCAGCGGCATCCACCACCGCTGTTACGGTGTCGGTGGGACTTCTGTCGCCCTCCTCGCTGTCATCGTCGTCTTCGCGTGAACTGCTACAGCACCCCACGATGCTTTCCAATGGTACTTCTTCGATTGCATGCGACGGTACGCTTTGGCCAACCGTGAAGGAGGCGGCGCAGGCAGAGTCTTGCCCAGCCGTTGCGGCGGAGACCATCGAGATAGAGGACGCGGTCAGCCCCGGAAGAGAAGAGAAGGTGGGCTTCGGACGCAGCGTCCCCGATAGTACATCGCAATGCTTCAGCGCGAGATGCACCACGTCGCTGATCTCCGAGCCGTCTGCCGGTTCGTCTTCTTCGTCATCCTCACGCCCGCCACCTTCGCCCTCCCCTGAGGTCGTCCTCACGGGAGATTCGGCATCCGCCGCAGATTCGAACACCAGCGCCGCATCCACATCGTGTAGCGTGTAGGTGCGTCGCTCGGCCGATGATGCGCAGGACCGCAGCCGGCGTACCGCGCTGTCACTGCAGCGGCACTCCACGTCTTTTTCCTCAGCCTCCTCCTCCGCAAACGAGCGCAGCACAATCGGCTTTGATATTTCGATGGTGTCGTCGGCGAAGGCGGCGGCGCACGGCGTCTCACCCGCGGCGACGCCCACAAACTTCGTGTGGTCGGTGTCGACGTTCTCGAAGATGAGGGAGCACGTGCCGAACCCAACGAGGAGGTCGCGATGGGTGTTCGCGAACAGCACGCGGCGGCGGAAGAGCTCCAGTGCCTGCAGGTGCGGCCCATCCAGCAACCGCGTCTGCAACACACGATCGGCGTCGGACAAGATGAGCTCGTCGTAGGTCTGGCAGAGACGCAGCCTTGCGAGGCACCATGCGCCGAAGTAAATCGGCCACCACAGGCACTCCCCCGTCCCGCAATGCGGCGTCGCCACGTTCAGAAAATTCTCAAAATGGACGTGCATCTCGCGCAGCCGGCGGCGCAGGTGCACCAAGGCGACGTAGAGTGCGGCATTCTGCGCACGCGTCTCGGTGGTGTCGAGGAGGAGAAGGTACACGCACTCCCGCTCGATGATGCCGCCAAAGCTGTGCGCCATGAAGGAGAGACACACCGGTAGCGGTGCGGCGGCCGCCTCCGTCGCGAGCTGTGCCGACTCGGGGGTGCTGCACAGGCGAGCGTAGACGGACCACCGTGCACGTCGCTGTCGCTCCCGCGCCTCCACGTCGTCGAGCCACGCGTGCAGCTGCGGCACCGTCTCCGCGAGCATCTTCTGCGCACACGCCAGCGTACCGGCATCCGAGCGGAGGTAGTTGTTCGAGCCGGCGGAGAAGACGCTGAGGTTGCCGCTGCGGTAGAGTCGGCCGTTGGTGCGGTTTGGGTGCTCCACGGTGAGCTGAAACGTCTTCTTGTAGCCGTCGCGGCGGCTGCGCTGCGCCTGCGTGAGCGCTGTGTCAGGCCGGAGTGGATCGGCGCAGGCCTTCGACGTTTGATTGGACTTCTCACCGGTTCCATCCGCTGACAACGGGTGCTGTTGCTGCTTGGTGAGCGCTGTGGCAACGGAGAGGTCGTGTGCGGCGACGGCTGCCCTTGGCGATGCAGAGCTGCTTGCGCTGAAGGTCACGGTCGGCATGGAAGTGTTCGGCACGGTGAAAGGCAAGCCCGCGGCGTCGTCTTCCGCGCTGCTCTCCTCCGTCATCGCAACTTCTGGGCTCTCCGTCGGCGATGCCCGACCGTTGCCTTTGGCGTTCGTCGTCGTACGTGTGCGGGGAAGCGGAGGGAACGACGCATTTGCCGTGGTAGCCTGCTCGTCCGCCGCAGCCTTGGCGAGCTCCGCCGCCTCGAACACGCTCACCTCGTGATGCACAAAGAGGTCCGTGATGACGTTCTCGAAGTCGGCGGAGGTGCTGAGCACGCCGTGTTGACAGATAATGAGATGATACGGGTCCCTCACCATGTGTGCCGTGGCGGTGAGCGCGTCGATTGAGTCGTCGGCGCGAGAGGCGGCAGAGGAAGGCAGCAGCGGCGGCGTACTCAGCGTTGCGTGTAGCTTTTTAAACTCCTCCTGCGGTGTAAGAGACGCCGACGGCCATCGAAAAAGACTCGAGAACATCAGTTCAATAGTGGTCTGCATTTTCCTCCTACGAATGATCGCTTCTTGTTTCCCTGTTGAATTAAAGTACTCGTCTCTGATTTGAGGTGTGTGTGTGTATGTGGATGATAAGGGCCACCTCAACGTGTTCCCTCCTCTACTCGCACGTGTATATGCACGTTTCTCTCCTCGTGGTTGGCGTGCTAGGTGGAGAGAGCAAAGATGGAGAGGTGTGGAGCAAAGCCGCAAACGACTAGTCAGCTGTGCAAAGAAATAATAATAGCAGCCGCAACAAGAGACAAGAGACAAGGAAAAGATATGCTTGGAAAGAAAGAAAGAGCTTCGAGAAAATATGGGAAAAATGAATTTGTTGACTTCAACACTCCCGCATGTCCACCTCGGATGAAGCGGAGAGACCAGGAAAAAATGGGGGAAGGAGAAAACGTTTAAAAAGGGGGAAAAAAACGAATGAACTCACAGTTTACGTGCAGCTTGTACGCGTGTGCTGTCGTTTGGTTTCTTGTTTCTTTGCGAAAGCCCTTTGCCGCCAATCGCACACGCACTACACACGCAGAATGATGAGAATGCGCAGCGCGCAAATTAACTTCCCAACGTGAGAAGAGAAAGTGAGGTCTGCGCGCTGCCTCGGAAAAAAAAAAATGAAGGAGAAGAGGGGGCGGCGCAGAGATCGCACCTTCGTGAATTACCTTTCGACAAAAGAACGGAAGCGGCGAGAAACCAAAGAGAGGAGGGGGGGGGGGGTTAAGCAGGGAGGAGTGCAATTAGTATGTCCTGTCGAAAAGAAAAACAATAATGCTTCGCCGGAATGGCTAAATGCTCAAACTTGCACGAGTTTGTTATCCCTCGTCCATGTCGTTAGTTGAAGTCGCACGAACACATACCCAATCCTACACACCCACACATCGCGCATCACGGCGATGAGTTGATTCGCTCGTGGAAGGAGAACTTTGCAGTTGTATCTGTCGACAAGGTCACAACACGCTTCATACTGCCGTTAAAAAAAAAGAAAAACATTCCTTAACGACTTCTTTGCAAGGCTCTGGTATTTGTATTATTGGTGATTGGTAACTTAATCGGTTATTATCGTAGAGTGTCTTTTCGCCGCTGATCAATCAAGGCAGAGGGGCTCACAACAGGAAGAACGAAGAGTCAGAAAGAAGGGAGAGGTGCTCCTCCATGCGCTTTGCGTTTTTTTGCATCTTCCCTTCGCTTTTCACGTCGCTTTCACAGGCTCGCGCACTACGCGGCAGTGACACACCGTACACTCACGCCCTACGACCTCCGCCATGCTCCACGTCGCCGCCTCTCGCGCCGCCGCGTCAGCAGATCGGGTGGGTCGGAAGGGCCGCAGGTACCCGCGAATGGCGCAGCGGGTGCAGAGCAGCAACGGTTTCTCGAACAGTGATGAAGGGACGGCAACGACTGGCACACCATGATTCTTTAGCGCACCAGAGGATGTAATGTCTGTGCTACCGTTGTTGCTATGCGTCGTGTGACACCCAGTGGAACGCGCCACCGCCATCGTAGGGCCCTCCGCGTGTCCGCTGCAACGCTCGCACGTGCAAAAGAATCGGTAGGTCTCGAGCAGGTTGCGTCGGCGCTCCGCAGAGTTCTGCTGCTCCACGTCGGTGTAGCTGATCGTGAGCGGTGCGCCTGCCGCGATGGAGCGCAGCGCGTAGAAGGCCATGACACGCCCGCCATGGTGCATGACACGGCAGATGTTCGGCACACAGGAGTGATTGAAGTAGGACGCCTCGGGATAGACGCCAAAGGCTATGCAGCTGTCGTCGGTGTCGTAGATACCGAAGCTGTTACACTGCACCGCGGCGCACAGTCGCACAAAGTACGCCTCCGACACGCACAACCGACGCGTCACATCGGCAGTGATCGTAGTAGTAGTGGGAAAGTCATCTTCGCTCCTCGCCTTCGGGCTCGTATCCAGGTTGAGTAGCTGCAGGACAGGCAGCACGCGCTTCGTGAAGACGCGGTAGTAGCGTTGATAGTTGCTGCGTCGTGTTTTGGAGATGACGGAGAGGTTCGTCTCCATCTGTGCCATATCCGCATAGCGAGGACGACGCACGTACAGTTCGGAGGTGAATGGCGTGCGGCCAACACCGTCTAGAGAAGGTAATGTCACATCGTTACTGCCCGTCTCAACCGTGTCGATGTACGTCACACACTCCATCGGCGCAGAGTGGGCATCGCCGTCTGTCGCATGCTGGCGGAGAGCCGGGTCGCTGTCTAGCACCTCCACCATGCCCGTCAGGCCCGCCCTGCGGCGCACGTCGAGAATCGTTAGCACCTCCTTCGGAACCACCACAGAGTCCACCGTGTTCGACACGCTGGGCAATGGAGAGGTGCTCGGCAGGGCATCCGCATCTACGGCAGCACCACAGTCAGGCACAGAACGATTTCCCGCTGGCTGCAGCGCGGCGGCTGGTGACGACGCATCCACACTCATCGCAGCCTCCGTTGTCTCTGTCGCCACAGTCGCATCAACAGTGCTATCCTCCACATCACCCGTGGAGTCGCCACCCTTTAAGTGCGCCGCATATCCGTCGCGGCACGCCCGAGTCAGCATCACCGCGCTGAACAGCAACGACTGGAACTCGAGCATCTTCTGCTCACTCGACGAGCGAGCCCAGTGCAGAGGTTCATCGCCGGGCAAGAGGACAGTACCGGAGACGGTGACAGTGGACAGACCTGCTCCTCTACCCGCCCCTACACCAGTCGAGTAGTACTCTGACATGAGACGCGGGTAGAGTCCACGCAGAACGGCACACTCGCCACTCTCCACGTGCTGCGCGTGGTGCGCACGCCAGCAGTACTCAGAGCAGTAGCACAGCACGCCACAGCCAGAGCATCCAGACATGGCCCCTGCAAAGAGCGAGGTGGATGCGTCTGCACTTCCGTCCCCCTGCTTGCGGGCCGCCCAGCCTTCCAGCCGAACTGCTGGGCAGCCGTGCTCGGTGCGGGCGCGTCGCTGCAGACGGCGCTCGTAAAAGATTTCCTCTCGCTGGGCAAGCGCCTTCTCCAGCAACTTTTGCTTCAGCTCCACTGCACCGTCTTTGCGAGTTCGTGCAGACTTCGTGGGCTTTTTCAGCTTGCGCAGAGCGGCCGCAGCAGCAGCAGCGTGGTGGACGTCGAACTCCTCTTCGTCTGCCGCGGCGTCTCCGAGAACAGCGGCCGCTGCGCCTTCTCCCTCTCCCTCTTCTTGGTACTTCGTCGCCGTCTGCGCTGCAGCGAGGTGCAGTTGCCGCCCCATCTCCTCCTGCTCCTCGCTCACGTCCACCGCGAGCTCCGCCAGACTGCCTCGATTGCACATCCACCGCCCGGCGGGGATTTGTTGAAAGCACACGGCACACCATGTGGACTGCGTGGTGTACCAGCGCAACAACGGTGCGGTGGCTGGGGCTCCGCTGCCGTTGCGCTGGCTGCCGTCTCCATACAAGGCATCTTTGTAAGGTGCTGCATACGCAGCTCCTGCATCGGTTACTGTCTCGCTCTTCGCACCGTGCCTCGATGCGTTCTTCTTTTGAGGGACTTTTCCGCCTCTTGTGTTTTTGGGGGTTTCCGCAGCGTCGCCGCTGGCGGCTGCCGCTGCACCACTGCTGCTGCCGCTCGAGGTACACCGCGCGGAGAGGTAGAGGGCGCTTGGGCAGAATTTGGGGTTCATCACCAGCCCGTACGGCGCGGCAGTCAGCACGAGCTCGCCAGGCGAAATCGCACGCTGGGCAACAGCATAGCGGCCAGCGTCCTCCTTTGCGGTGTAGGTGAGACGAACACGATCATCTTGCGGTGGTGACCGCAGCTGCCCTGACATGGTGATGTACGCTTGAAGATGTGTGTGTGTGTGTGTGTGTGCGTGTGTGTGATATGCATATATAGATAGATACTTGGTGTGTATGCTGCTCCGCGCTGTTCTCTCCAAACTAGCGGAAAGAAGTGGAAGATACCTCACCGCAAGACGGATGGAGATGCCTGGCATGCAAATCAAAAAACAAAAACGGAAAGAGAGATGAACCGGGCATTGTCGATTTGAAAACCCCTACAAGGCGGATGCACATGTAGAAAACGGCTTGTTGCAATGATTCCTACCCCTCAGAACTGAAGCTGCGGTTTATCTAACAGGATACGCACACGTGTGTGTGTTCAGCGGGTCCAGCGACAACATTTTGGGGGTTTCTTCGCGGCGGCCGTAGAGAAAGTCGTCACGAGTTTGCCAGGAATTCGCCGTTTGTGATAAGGTGCATCAACACCCAAAAGTTACCCCATCAACAACATGTCACGGTACTACAAAAGAAATTCAAAAAAAACTCTTGTATTCCGTACTAGGACGACCGCCGCACCTTGACTCCCTCCCTCGATGCGTCCCCTAGTGGTCATCAACCACGAACTTCGCCGTTACACATCATCCAATGCGGCGTCCTCGGACCCGTCTATCAAGGTCCCTGCATCCACCACGGCTGTCGTCTCCATCTGCTTCAATTTCTCCTCCAGCTCCAGCCGCCGCAGCACATCCTCGCTGGGCCGCTCAAAAGCGGAGTGGGTGAGTCGAAATACCTTTTCAGCGTAGACACGCTCCCCTTCGTGCGCTTTGCGGTACGCCAGCACATGGGGCGGCAGCACCTCCGACTCCTCCGTTTTATAGGCGTACAACTTACTCCGTGGCGAGGTGTCCAGGAAGCGCAGCAAATTGAGTAGGTGCTGCGGATCGGCCGTCCAGATCGGGCGACCGGTCTCGTAGTAGTACGTGCACGACATCCCCAGAAGAATGCAGGGGACGGTAAGGAAGGCGGTGTAGCGGATGTAGTGGCGGCGGACTTCGTCCGGGTGGTAGCGGTACTCACGATGAATGCGCTCGTCCATGTTGTCGCGGTCACGCTTTGACATGGCATCCTCGCTCCACGAATCGCGAAGCTGTTGCACACCCCATGGGGCTTTTGGTTTGACTTTGAGGGCCTTCGCCGTGCGGGGGCCGTGTTTGCTCTTGCCGATGGCGTCGGCGCTCATCCTCGTTGATTTACGCGGTGCACGACTGCTGCTGCTGCTGCTGCTGCTGCTCTCGGCAGCTTGCACCTTCTCGAGCCGTTGCAGGGACGCATCGACTGCGGTGAACGGTGGAGAGAAGGGCGCGTTCACGTTCGTGAGCTCGCTGGAAAGCGAAGGTGAATCGACAGAGGCTTGCTGGTCACGATGACCGTCGCTACTGTTTTGACCAGACCTGAGGGAAGAGGAAGATGCTGCTCGCCAACTGCACGTCATTGCAGTGTATCTGCCGCACTGCGATTGTTGTTGCGGCCTAGACGGCCCCTTCGTCAGGGCACGAGCTGTAAGCGCTGTAGAGAGCGGGTGCGGTGGTGACGAGAATGTCCGTCTTTTCGTCACACATGCGCTGCCCCACACAAGCATCGGCCGTGTACCGCAAAGACGCGCGAGGCGATAGGCACACCAACCTTGATTGCGCTGCATCTTCCAAGATGGTCCGAATCGATCTTTGGGCTCCGAGGGAGAGGGGAAGAACAGACGGAGGAGCGCGATAAAGAAGTTCAACGTGCAGCCATTTCGTTTAACTGCGCGAACAGCCGCAGCTCAATAATAATAGTAATGAAACCCGATCGTGCGTTGTTTTTCGCTTGTCCAGCACTGTTGGAACCGTGCAGGACCTTTGCGTCTAGTCAGCGACGACGGTCACGCGGAGAAGAAGTTAGAACGTACAGGGGGGCAGCCGGTTTGTTGAGCAGCTTGCTTCTGTTGTGACTCGATGAAGTTGGCTCCTCTTTCAGTATGCATTTTGTCTTTTTGCATCGATAAAATGGCGGAAGACAGCCACGCACATTCAAACACGCAGAGACGCGTACAACGCAGAAAAAAGACCTCCCCACAGCAATAAGAAAACGGCACTGAAGCAATTATATATATATATATATATACAGCAAAAGAAACAAAGGTTGGTCAGCAACGCACGCATCAAACTCCATTTTCATTTGCTTCCTTTTTCCTTCTGGTGTTTGGTGAACCAGGAACGCCACTACGCATAAATCCATGAATGTATATGTATATGCGTCCTCTCCCACACTGCGCTTGCTGGAAGCGCCCCTCTGCTCTCGAAACAGCATATACCAATCAAAAAAAAAAATGGGAGGGCCTTCCTGTTCCGCCGTCGCTACGTGTCCAGCGGCAGCACCTTGTACGGGTTGAGAATGCCGTTCGGGTCCATCATGCGCTTCACATCCTGCATCAGCCGTATCGTCTCGGGCGTGCGAGAGAGGTGCACGTAGTCACGCTTCTGCATCCCCACACCGTGCTCGGCAGAAATGCTGCCGCCGTGCGCAGCGCAGAACTCGTACACGCCCGGGTAGAGCGCTGCGTCCAACTCCGCCGCGTGCGAGCGGGTCAGGTCGATTACATTCAAGTGCACGTTGCCGTCGCCGAAGTGGCCGTAGCCGACCACAAGCACCTCTGCCGGGTTCACCTTGTGCTTCTTGTATACAATCTCGCGTGTGTGCTCGACGATGCAGTAGAACTTGTCAATCGGGAAGGACACGTCATACTTGTAGATGCGTCCGCTGCTGGCCAGGTGCACCGGCACGCCTTCGCGCAGCTCCCACAGCTGAGCCGTTTGCGCGGCGGACTGCGAGAGAATCGGCTCGTACGCGCCCCCACCGCTCAGCTGGTCGCCGAGGCGAGTCTGCGCTGACTCCACAAACTCCGACAGCTTCTCGAAGTCATGTGTCTCGCTGCTGCCGTTTGTCTCCACCAGCACGCAGAAGTACGCCGCCGTGAAGTCACTGCCGGCACGGAATGCGTCATTCTTGTCGGTGCGTTTGTAAGGGACCTGATTCGCCGGGCTCGTCGTGAGGGACTCCCCGTCCATCACCTCAAAGGCGGACAAGCATTCCGCCAAGTGCTCCTGCGCCAGGTGATACAGCGCTAAGACGGACTCGAAGTTGCTGAGGCGGAACATCGCCGTTTGCTTCGAGCGGGGTTGCTGGTAAAGGCGGATCGCAGAACGGGTCACTACGCCGAGTGTGCCCTCGCTGCCAATAAACAGGTGCTTTAAGTCGTAGCCCGCGTTATCTTTGCGGAGGGTGGACATCATGTTCAAGACATCACCCTTCGCCGTTACTACCTCCAGTCCCAGCACGTTCGCGTGCATCGAGCCGTAGCGGGCGAAGTGGATGCCGCCGGCGTTGGTGCTGACGGTGCCGCCGATCATCGCACTGCCCTTCGAGCCCATGGTGAGCGGGAACAGCATCCCAGCCTTCGCACAGGCCTCCTGACACTGCTGCAGAATCACACCCGCCTCCGCCTCCACCGACATCGTGTCCTTTGACACGACGGGTGGAGCACTCATCAGTTGCGTGCTGAGCACGAGTTCGTCAAAGACGGGTTCGGCGCCGTACACGAGACCGGTGTTGCCGCCCTGCGGCACCACCGCCAACTTCTCCTCCTGGCAGTAGCGCAGAATCGCACTCACCTGCTTCGTGCACGTCGGCAGCAGCACCGCGGGGGTGTCGCCTTGGATTTGGCTCATCCAGTCAATGTTATACGGCGCCGTGGCTGCCTTCTCGGTCAGCATCTTGCCTTTGCGCTGCGTGACGCTGCATGGTTGGTCCAACACACTTTTGAAGTAAGCGAGGTGCTTTGGCCCTGCCTTGGCGAAGCGCGAGCTGCGCGTGGCGTAGTGGGCCGCCCGCTCAACAGGTGTGAGACTCATCGTGAAAGGTGTATGTATGTGTGTGTGTGTGTGTGAAAGCGATAACTGTTTTTGTTGGTATTTATGTATTTCTGTCGTTCGTTGCTGTGGTGGTGGCCGCAGAGAGGAGAAGCGCAGCGTGGCAACGGCAGGCTTCGTTGGGGTGCAGCAGCAGAAAAGAAAGAAAAAGGGGAAAGGAGAGAAATGCAGTAAGAATTAAGAACGTTTTCGTGTGCGTGTGTTAATGTTTGTGTTTGTCCCTTAACTAAGTTTCGGTAAAAGAAAGAGAGAGGTACGCGGTCCGCGTCGGCGTCGGCGTCGGCGTCGGCGTCGGGCGCACACGAGAAGGCTTGCAAATATGTGAAACAGGGAAGGAGGGGGAGAGAGACAAAGGCTACGACGGAAGAAACAGCCTGTTCATTGTACGCAAGCATAACACTTACAGCCAAGAACACCAAAAAGGGGACGAGAAGGAGAGAAGTAGAGAACAGTGCTAAGATACATTTGCTCTTTTATCCTCCACCTTCTTACGGTGGGACACGAGCATCACGCCGCCGATGTCGGCTTTGCAAACGACTCAATTGGGTTGCATCGGTTTTGACTTTCTTTGCCTCGATTAGCCGCCCTTTACGGAACACTTCGACCCCTCAGCGGTACGCTTGCACCGGCGCCCCCTCCCACTTGAAAAAGAAGTTGGTGCTGATGCGAAGCCTGTTGACGGAGCGGCGAACAATTCAAAGACGAAGGATGAAGAGGAAAAAAGGAAGCCACTACCCAACACCCCCCCCCTCTGCCCTTGTGGAAGCTGTTCTTCCGTAGTTTCGTAAGTATTATTGTTGTGATGCACCGGGCCGGTTCCCTTTTTTTCTTTTACGCGCAGGCGCATCTCTGCCTTCGTCGCTCTCACTGAGAAAAAAGCAAAGGGTGCACTTCACGCTGGTGCCGGTGTGTGTGTGATGCCTCTCGAGAAGCGCCACCTTCGTTACTATTATGGTGTTAGTAATTTTATTTTGTTGTTAAACGGGAAATAGCGCGAAACGTGGCTGCGAGAGAAAGAGAAAACTTTTGGCCTTCCAGCACCTACACCACATCCACTGCGCACGCCTTCTCCTCTCGTACGCAGCGGGAGCAGCGGCACGTGAAGAGGTAACTCTTCAACAGCTGCCGCCGCTCGGCCAACGTGGCCGACGCGGTCAATGGAATGTACGTGATGGTGATCTCCTCGCCCGTCTTCACCGGACGCGTCGTTGTGAGGGCTATTTCATGCGTATCATCCACGTTGCTGACGGCTGCGTTTGGCTCGCAGGAGTGGTTAAAGGAAGATAGGAGAGTGTACAGGCCTGCGCCCTTCAACACCCATTCAAACTTGCCAGGAGCAGCGGCAGAGACCGGCAAAACGTAGTCGTTCACGCCATGCGCGTTCAACACCATCTGCCCCACCAATGTGCGGAGTGTGTCCGCGCTGAGGAGGACGTGCACAAGCGCCTCCGCCCAATAAAGCGGCGACGCGGATGGGGAGACGGAGGGGGCAGAAGAAGAGCAACAAGAAGAGGGATCGTCGTGCATCTCTGTCTCAAAGCGCAACGGAGACAGTTGCAGCTTTGCCAGCGGTGCCCCACTCGCGACAAGCAGCAGCTTCACACACTTCTCTGCCAGCAGCAGCCGCACCGCGCTGCCCCACGCTGGCAGCGACACCCCGTCGAACTGCACCGAGTCGGGAGGACTGATGAGGCGGCTAAACGGTGCCACCACCTGCGTGAAGAGCTGATAGTTGAGGGAGTCGGCCGACCAGGCTGTCTGCACACTCCCTTCTGCTGAGGCAACGTTGGGACTGCTGTGGCTGCTGCTTCGCTGTGCTGTGTAGTCTGCCTGAAGTACCGCATGGGTCAGCTTCTGCTGCTCAATGACCACGGAGAGACGCTGCGCGATCCAGGCAACACAACGGGCGAGTGCCTCGACCGAGATGCCAGAGGCCACCGTGGCACTGGAACCGTTAGCATCACTGCGCAGCTGCGGCAACGGTGAGCAGAGCAGTCGGTGCGTACGCGCAGACGCCTGCTGACAGTCCACGGAGCAAAAGCACGAGGCACACTGCGCGCAGCGACTCCACTTTTCTGGCAGAAGTGCAGCTGTGGAGGCGGACGATGGTGACGGTGAAGGGGACAACGACACACCGTCAGCAGCAGCGTCGTCAGCCGGGGAAAGCTGATGCGTGGCCAGTCGTAAGCAGTGGAAGCAAAACGGCAGCCGAAGGTTGAGGAAAGAGACGGACGGCCACGACACAATCGGCAGCTCTTCCACCAAGGCAAAGCCTCTATCGAGGTCGGCGGTCGCCATCATGTGTTTGCCTGCCTCGCTCGTTACGCACACCTCGCAGGGCACCTCAAGGCGGCCGAAGATGGCGTTGAGTTCATTCGCAGCCTTGACAGCGGGGTCCATCTTGGTTGCGATTTCTTCTTGTACTTCGTAGCAGCGGTGTCGTGAACTTCCGCTCCTCCTCTATAAGAAGAAAAAATCTTTGAAGGGAAGCTTCCACAAAATAAAGGTGGAAAATATATTTAGAAAGGAATACACTTCGGAGGCGATAATGAGGGGGTGGGAGGGAGAGGCAGGTTGAAAGACAAGACAGGAATGAAGGAAGTGGCAACGAATTCACAAGTAGAAGATGTAGAAGGACAGATACGTACCACTTCTAATACAGGAATGAAAACAGCGTAACGTTGCACTCAAGAGAAAACTGCCGAGACACCAGCACGCTGATGGTCCATGTCTCGTTGATCCCAAGAGTCACGATCAGGTGGTGCTCACGCTGCGAAGTACATACAGATGTACAGGAAACAAACAAACAAAAAAAATAATCACGTGCTGACGCTGCGCCGGCACCTTAGCAGACGCACGTAGAAGCAACGAAGATAAAAAATGCTGCAGCACCTCGTTTGTCCCCTTCACGCTGTAAGACTCACTCTCGGCACAGTTCACGGAGGAGCAGGAAAAGAAAAGGCAGCGTGATGTGTTGTTGATTTGCTTTTTCTCCCTCCCTTCGCCTTCGATAAAAAGTGCTGTGGCTCTTCTGCGTACGGTACCAGTTGATTCCCGAAAAGGGATGGACAGACAGCGCAGCAACACGCGTGTACGCACCCATGCCAGTGATGCTGTGCGTTTTCGTCTTTACGCCAGATGATGTGGAGATCAAAGCAGCTTTAAAAACAGTCTATCAGCTCTCACCCCCGTCTTTCACAAAGGGCTTTTTGTTTTCCTTCACAACGCATCCTCCAGCCTCTCCATCTTGACTCGCGCAGCCTCGTTTGGATTATAGCTGCCAATCACGCGTCGGCACAGCCCGTTCATCCCCTCCGCCGTCTCTACCGCCTTCAACTCCGGCTCCAACTCTACCATGCGGCGCAGCAGCGCCACGTAATCGGGGAAGCGGCGGTTTGCGTACATGTTCATCTCCGTCACCATCACCCTCAGGTGGAACTTGCCGTTCACACGATACTGCCGCGCCCACGTGCACACCTTTGCTTGAAAAGCAGTGTCAACGTCGTTGCTGGCGTGGAAGGGGTTTAAGACGTCGGTGTCCTCGTTGTGGCGCTTGCTGACCACCCTGCAGGTGCGCTTTAACACGGAGAGCTCCACGCAAAAGTTCAGCAGAAACTCCACCGTCTGCTCCCCCGTGGTCTGCGCGTGCTGCACGTGAAAGGGGTCTGCCGGGAAGCGCAGATAGCGCAGGGCGGCGATGCACAGGTGCTCCAGCGCGGACGCGTAATGAACGAAGACCTGGTTCGTAAACGGCACCGGTGTCACGAACTTCTCCAGCGTGTAGAAGATGCTGATGTCCGACGATTCGGGGTAGAAGTGGTAGGTGCTCGCGCCGCGGCTGGGTTGGTCTGAGGTGCACGGCGAGGTCGGGTAGTTGTCGCCGTCGCGGTGTGACAGCCGCGGCGACGCCACCGTGTCGAGCAGGTCACCAAATACGCTGATGGAGCCGTTGCGGTAGTAACCCTCAGCTGTCTCGTCAGGGATCGTGCCGAGCAGCACGTTGTTGATGATGCTCGTCGCGCCCATGTGTGTGGACGCGGTGCTCTCCCCGTAGGCCACCAGCGGCGGGGTCGCGCTGCCGTGGTCGAACAAGCTGCTGGAGACGGACATGGCAAGGTGCTCCCCGTCAGCGTGGGCCGGGATGGAAGTCGTATCGGGCGACGCGGTGGAAGGGGCAGCGAGACAGCCTTCCGGTGGCGACCCCTCTCTCCCCTCCACCACGGGATGCTCCGGTAAAGGCAGCAGATCATCTGCGGTCGGGTGCCGGTGTGCGGACAACAGCGGCGGCTCCGCCGGTGAGGCATGGCGCGGGGATCGGCTGCTGAACGCGGCCCGTGCGTGCGGGATAGACGAAATCGGAGAAGACCGCGGCAACTCCGCTGCTGCAAAGTGGCTCTCCATGCTACCGCCCAATGCACTGCCTCCTTCCTCTTCGTCCTCTCCCGCCGCCGCGCGTTCGTCGTCGTCGTTTCCGGAGAAGGCGGGCGACGCGCCGCTGATGATGGCGCTTGGATTGCTGCCAGCTGCGGCCCACGACACGTAGCCGCGGTCCCCGACGCGCATCGGCACGGCGTAGAGCACGGCGTCCGGTGCAGACCAGCGCAGCTGATGCACGTAGAAGGTGGAGATGTAGCAGGGCGGGGTGTGTCGGCTGAAGAGGCCGCACTTGTCGGTGCCGCGGAGGTAGAAGTACAGGTGGAAGTTCGTCTCGCAGCTGGCCAGGTCGCAGTCCTGTGGCCCAATGAGAGGCGTGCCGGCGAGAATGAGTTCCATCAGGTGCTCCCGCTTCGTTTGCATTTGGTTCTCCGGCACTGTGACAATGCGGGAGAGAAAGGGCAAGATCACCTCCACCGCCGCGGCCCGCCAGAGCGCCTTCACGGCACGGAACGAGCGCTCCATCAAGAAGGGCTTAATGCTGTTAAACGAGATGAGCAGCGCGGTCGACTCGGTCGAGATGACGCGCCAGCGGCGCTGCTGGGCGAGGCGGAACTCCGGCGGCAGCATCAGCGCCTCTAAGCCGACGGTGTCGCCGAAGCTCTCCATCATCTCATGCTGCGTCAGCGTCGTCCACTGCCCGTGCATCGCCCGCAAACAGCCGAAGACGACCACAAGAAAGGCGTTCTCCGGCAGGGTGATGACCTCGCCCTCGCGGAACTTGCGCACGAGCCCCATCGAGCTGATCGCCTTGATCTCCACCGTGCGGAGGCCCTTCCCGAGCGTCGTCGCCGCCACAGCACGCAGCACCAAATTACTCTCCTTCTGCTCCGCGTTGTTCTCCCAGCTGGTCGGCACGTGGGCGCGCATGTGCGTGACCATCTCCATCAGCACCGCCGACCCGCGCGTGCCAAAGCCTTGCTCGCTGTGCAGCGTGTTCACCGCCTCCACCAGCGAGTTCGCCACCGACACAACGGCGCGGCTACTCGCCACGTTGTTCGTCGCCTCCGGGAAGTTCGCGTAGAAGAAGCGGATGGCCCGGTTCGCGGCGCTCATCTGCGCTGACATCCAACCCTCCACCCGCCGCGCCTGCGCCTCGGAGGTGACGTACTTGTACTTGAGTGGCGAGATGACGGTCAGGCACTTCACGACGGCGAGCAGCGTCACGAAGGCGTTCTCCTGGGCACGTCGGTGGGCCTGCGCGAAGTAGCCCTTCCCAAAGATGAAGCGCTCTGCCCAGATGACCCACGTCGGCAGCAGTCGCCGCATCAAGGCCTCCACGACGCGGTTCATACGTGCCGCGTCGGCAACGTCCTCGGCACCGCCGTGGCCACCCTCGACGAAACCCGGCGGGGGACTCAGCACATCCACCCGCACCGCTTCATAGGCGGACGGGTCACCAAAGGAGCGGTGGTTGGTGGTGGAGTCCATCACCGCTGCCATGGCGGCGGCCGCCGCGCATGGGTTACCGCCGTCTGCGCCGTAGCCGCTCACGTCCATGACTTCCGCGAAGGTTTCTCGTCGGGCTTTGAGCGTCGGCGTGGGGGTATGCGTGGGGCCGTCACCTCTGCTGCTTTCTCCGCCGATGGACCTCTCGCGGGACCGGCGACCGCCACGGTTTTGAGCGGCGGTGACCCTGGCCGTGTGCTCGTCATCACGCACCGCCGGGGCTGCCTGTGCAGGATACACTCGGTCGTCCTTGGTCGATGGTTGCGGAAGCTGCGGCGATGGCAGGCGAGGTGGCCCTAACTGTTGCTGCTGCTCGGGGGTTAGGTGACTCACCGGCGATGGCTGCGAGGCACGACGACGCACGGTTGATGGTGACATGGGATGTCGAGTGTGCAGCTCCTCCTCCCCCGCTGCCGCCTCCTCGGGGTTGCCCTTCTTGCGATGGAAAAAGTGCATCTGCTGCACGTCCAGCAGCTCACCGCGCTCGATGAGACCGGCAATGACCGTCCCCATCTGCATGACCACCGTCTCCGTGATCACCTCCTCATCGCGCTGACGCCACAGTGCCGTCTTGAACGCCGACATGAGCATGCGGTTCACCGTTTTATCCTCATCCGGCTCCTTCTCGACCCCGACGCCGCGCAACGGGTTGCGGAGGTGGTGACGCACGAACTTCTCCACCTGCATCCAGCTGGCGTTGCGGTACTTCGTGTCCCGCTTCACGCTCTCCAGCGCGTTCTCCTGCGAGCTGCGCACGCACTCCATCGCGAAGTTAATCTTCAGCACACGGAACTCCTCCTTCGTGTAGAAGCCCAGTCGCCGCACGACGCGGCGGGCCGTTGTAGCGTTCACCAGCAGTGTCAGCAAGACAATGCCGGATGTGATCTTCAGCACGGTGATGCCTTCCTTCAGCCCGGATTGCTTCACCGCTAACGCCAGCGTGGCGGCGACCCCGCCGCGCAAACCGGCGTGCACGAGCAGCGCAATGCGATGTTGCGTCACCTTGTAGGAGAAGACGTTCAGGCACGGCGCCAGTATCTCTAGCATAATGAGCCGCGACAGAATCATCGCCACGTAGATGCCTAAGATCACAAACACATCCGTCACCCGCAGCGTTGGGATCACCTCGGCAACAAGAATGACGCCCACGAGCGAAAACAGCACTGTGTTGCCGAGGTGCACGAGGAACTCCCACGTGGAAGAGATCAAATTACCCTCCTTGCCGGGAAACAGCGAGGGGCAGTAGTAGCTGAGAAAGACGCCTTGGAAGAAGAGGGTGAGCACGCCGCTCGTGCGGATGAGGTGGCTCGCGACGTAGTACGACACGTACGTGACGGAGACCGTAATGCACGCCTTGGTCAGGCCATCCGCCGTGCGTCGCAGCCAGAAGGATTGCAGGAATCCAAAGATGGGGCCTACTAGAACCGGCAGCAGCGAAAGTCGAACACTCTTCAGAATTATGACGCCAACGGACCCGCTCATCGAGCCGGTCTGCGCCGCCGGTAGGAAGAGGCTAAACAAAATAATAGCTGTCCCATCGTTCATGACGGACTCGCCATCCACCAGGGCGGTCATGCACTTATCCACGCCCAGCTCCTTCAGCAGCGCCACCACCGCCACCGGATCCGTCGCGGACAGCAGCGAGCCGAGCAG